GATTCCAAATGGAAAGTAAACAAATGAAAAAAAAAAAAAAACAACAACGACAAAAGGTACACAACAAAAAGATGCAAAATTCCCCGTTGACAAAAACAACAAGAACAACACACTACCACAAAATTCAGCTCTAAACTTCAATATGTAAACTTTGAATAGCCAATCGACGATTTCAAGATTGAAAACCTTAACCTAAAAAGATGCAAAACAAAAACAAATTTAAATTTAATATATGGACGCTTGGCTAGTTGGAATTTTGGAGAGAACAGAATGGCTCTATATGTATGTATAACGGATACAACAACAACAACACACACAACTGAACATTGTTTTATAAACGTGATACGCAAATAGACTTGAAAAATGTAAATGTAATTAATAAGTAAAATTATAAATTATATAAAATATGTACGATTGTATTTATGAGTAATTAAACAAATGACGCTAGAAGCGCATACGCATAAGTACACAGCTTATGTTTACATATATATAGATTCCCCAAGCGGACAACATGTGCAACGTACCTTAAAGATGATGAAAGAGTAACTGTTGAGAGATGAGCACACACACATAGAAATTGAAAACTGAAACCAGAAAACAGCGAAAAGGAAGAAGGAGTATGGATAAAATTTAAATTAAAAATCTTTAAAACAAATAAAAAGAAAACATTTATAACGATAATAAGAAAAATGATAATAATACCACCCACCAAATCACAAAAGACTAATTCAACAAAAAAAAAAAAATAAATGAAAATGAAAATGAAAAAAAGAAGAGAAAGAGAAAGTAAAGAAAGACGACAAACTCAACGCTGCANTATATATAAATAAATTAAAAAATTATAAAAATAAACCTCACCCACACACAATTACCATAAATGGACCACTGTACCAACTGAAGAAAAGCTTTGTAAAATTAAAGAACATTTGTAAAAGCAATACTTGGAATTGTGTTAAAAATCAAGTCAAAAAAAAGAAACGAAAAAAATGAAAGAAAGAGATGAACCCAACCAACAAAAAAAAAAACAATAGAAAAAGAAAAAAAAATAAACAATTGTACACTGCTTTCGTAAAGAAATTTATTGAAGCTTTGTATAATTAAAAAAAAAAAACTGAACTTTTGTGTTTTTATTTGATTTATTTACATACATATATGTATGTATGTGGCTATAGCCCACGCTCTTAATGTCTCCCCTACACAACAGGTTATAGCGGAACGTTTCACACAGAAAGACGACGCATGGCTTCCACGTGTGTTTTGCCCACACATTCTCGCTTGTTCCAGACTCTTGTGGAACAGTATTTCTCATTTTCAACATGTCCATATACATACATACACATTAGCTGCATGTGTATGTTTGTATGTGTGTGAATATGTTGTATGCTGCACTGCAGAAGATCCGATCCACATGTAGAAAAAGGAGAGTAGTCGAACAACGCGATGAGAGACAGAGAGAGAGAGAGAGAGACAGCGACAACGACAGAACTTTGTCTTTTGGGTTGTATGAGAATTAAAATACCCTTGCAGAGATAATCACCCCTTGCGTTTTTAGTACTGTTTGTGGATATATGTATGTATGTACTATTTGTGGATCATTTCAACATTAGAGATCATTAGCGAGCACAAAATTTTAAAAATAAATTAAAAACAATGTTTTCTAGTAGACCACCTTAAACAGCATGATACACAATTTTGTTATTTATAATTCTAAATAATTATCCCTATGTAAATGCGTCATTTCATACGTACTTAAAACTACCAATCAACCGCACACACAGATCAACAATCCTTAAGCCGCCATCCTAAAACCAACAACCAAACCCCACCCCCCTCCCCCTTAAACCATGATACAAAGAGATTTGAAAAATTTTCAATGGCCCTCTAGACGACAACGTTGCGGATGTGATGTGACTCGATGGAGGCTATGCAAACATCATTGAATTTTGACTCAAAGGTAGGTGGGTAATACCCCTTAAAACTCAGTGTCAAATGGAAACAGAAATACAAGATAGATACACAAAACTGGTATACTACGCTCCACTTATTAGCAAACATTCATACATATTTACATATGTGCATATGCCTATATATGTATGTTGAGCATGACTCATTTAACACGGTTTCTTTAAACTAGTATTATCTGGCTTGCTTATAAAACTTATGTATATGCACACATACATATGCATGTATATATATACATATAGTTTTGAATTGGCATAGGTGCCAGTTAACAGTATTAGTAGTGGTTGCTCGACGTCTCTTTTAACAAAGACATCAAAAGAAGAAGAAGAAAAAAAACAAACAAATAAACTGTAAACGTGCCTAGCAGCAGCTTCGCCTCGACGTCACTCTTTAAAAATTAAGCTCAGTTTGTTGTAAAGAAGAAGAAGAATCGATCGCTTCAAAGTTGCTTATTAAACGCTGTCGCAAAATAAAAACTGGATTTACAGCAATAAATGTACATACATACATGCATACGCACGTGTATGGGCAGGCAGCATGTCGGCATACACACACATACATACATGTGTATATACATACATTTGTGTTTCCCATTAATTTAAACATGCAAAATCACTCCATTATAAAAAAAAAAGCAAAAAAAAACGCTGAGTAAACGAATTTCATGCCCTGTGGAAATATATACATACATATATACATATTTATATGTGTATGTATGATTAAACACGATTTCTATATTTAAAGATGTATGTACATACATTTTAAATTTACTTATGTACATACAAACAACATATGAATTTTGAAATACATAGATATGTACATTCATAGACGCGTAGTTAGCTAGGATTTTTTCTACTAAATACATACATATGCTTGTAACTAAAAAAATTATTCGCTCTAGAAAGCTGTTAGGAGAGCTTTCACTGTGCTCGCATCTTTTTGAATATATGTATGTATGTACATACATATATACGTATGTGTATACATACTGCACTATTTTTTATGCATACGTACTTATGTACATATGTCTACATATGCGAACACGCACATGTGTTTCATTATGCATACGTAAGTAAACACACATGCATACATATAATGCACATATACATTCATCCATACATACATACATACGCCAAGCTCATCATATGTATGTATGTACATAAGTACACCATTTTAAAGAAAACGCGTAAACAACATTTATGTTTTGTTATTTTTTCTGTTATGGGTTCTACTTGCGATAATTGCAATCAGACACAACCGTGCAGACAAATACAGTTGAACGAATAGCCGCGACACACTCATATACACATATACGGGCATGGATGTGACACACAAACGTATGAGTGTATATGTATTGAGACATAGCGCGATGTTGACGTTGACTCGCTTACGTCTACCGAACGCGCTTTCTTCCAACAACCGCGTGCTCCACCCCCCGCCCCATTGGCCGTAGCTGTAGCCACGATAGCGAATACGAATTCATGTACATATGTACATATGTATGAAAGACTAGAAAAAAACAACACGACGGGCGCAAAGCGGTGGTCTTTAGTTTTGTCTACGCAGTTTGTATCTGTGAGATAAATAGAGGCCTACGTAGCCGTATATATAAACCATATACATATGTATGTATGAACAACAAACGTAATTTTGTAAGTACGTCTGTATGTAACCGCCAATATGCCCTCTTACGCGTACGCACACACAGATATGCACGCATACACGCAGTCGGACGTCGCTCATGCTTACAAGCTTTGTGCGTTGGGCTCTCAAGCTCCGGCAACACATACAAATTTATGATGACATGTATATGCTACATGTGTGTATACATACAAATGCGCGACATATGCACATACATACATATGTATATGCTACGTAAGCGTTAAAAAATACAAAAATAATTTTTGGAACACAAATACTTACATGTGTGTGTATATGTATTATTTTGTTTATGCGTGATAGGTACATACATACATACATGTGTATGTATATACGATTGYTTGCGCGAGCGTTTGCCAACGGCTTTTTAAAGCTATGGAATTATTTTATTTTACTGCGCAATTTCTACTATTGATTTGCCCGCTATTTTTTTGCTTGTATATTGTTTTTTTTTTTCTTTGTTTACTTAATATTGCTGCCGCAGCGCCGTTGGCATTGCAGCTAACGTTTCTGATGCAAATGCGTGCACATTCATATCTATGTACATACATACATACATATGTACGTATGTAGGTACATATGTATGTATGTATCTATATTTTTACAGTTGCATAAAGCAGTGCATGAATAAATGTTTGCTTATATGTATACAAAAAACAGTTTATAAATTGTGTACATCGTACAAATGTATATACATATGTACGAATATTGTCTATGTATATCTATACATATATATATATGTATGTACATATAAATGTTGTGTAGAATGCTTGTTGCTGCTTGCTTGCATAAACAGCACAAACATATCCATATGTATGTACGTACGTATGTATGTATGTATGTATATTAAACCAAATGTTTACATACATACATATGTACATATGTATGTGTAGAGGGCGTTATTTCGATTTCAGCTTCCCAAGGTATACATAAATATTAAAACAACGACTTCAGATGGCCTACGTGACTTGCGGCAACACAAAGCAAAGCCATCATAATTGTATTTAAAACATTCAAATAATCACAAAATATGCATGTAAACTTTTTGTTTATATACATGTGTATGTGAACTCTTTCATACATATGTATGTATGTATGCAGTTTGATTCGAAGGATAATGTTGTCCAAGTCATGTGGTCCATTCTATTTATTGCATTTCATATTTACGAGTGACAATAAATATACATATGTACATGTGCACATTTTCGCACACACATATTCAAATACTGTTAGAAACAGCTTTTACGGAATTTAATCACGTTTTGAGTGGTTTCTGTTTACAAAATAAACTCTTTAAGCGCACACATATACATAATATACACATGCACATACATATGTACATATTAAGATAGTATATACATACATACGTAAACAAGCACACTTCGGGATATTTGAATAATGTCAACTGACATTTAATGTATTTATTTATAATTTTCAGGATAGACCAAAAATGATATGAATGTGTGTTTTTTTAATGAAAAATATATAAAGGGAAAGTATAAAAATAATAATAATAATAATAATTATAATAATAATTTGACTCATTTAAGTTTAATGCATTAGTTTTTATTTGTTTCTGGTCCGTTCCGTCAGAATTATAATGTAAGGTAATCCGATTTAAACATCAATTTCATGAAATTAAATCCACGTGACTTATGGATCGCCTTTGACAGAGTGGCAGAGGCCAACGGGAATTGAACCCTGTGCGCTGCCTGCTGCCTGCCATTCATTGAGTAGTAAAATTATTATCAGTTCAATTGAACTCGGTGTGTGGAGAATGATAAGCCGGCGGGCTCAGTAATAAATGGTGTGATCAGTGGCTCATCGCAGTTGAGAGTCCAGTTGAGTTGTTTCCAGCTACGTTGCAAGATGTTCCCCACTTGGCTAATACTGTGCATCAGCGTTCTAGGACTGTGCCAGGTAGGAGGAATCAACTAATTCACCTCTCACATATTGTCAACATTTTATTGTGAATCCTAGGCAAATGTTATATTTCACTTTGCGCTGGATTTCCATGTGAAACAGCCGGAAAATTCAACGGAGCCCATAGACAAAACCATCCTGGTAGATCATAATCAGGTCTTCGTACAGGACAGTAAAGTAAATTCATCCTGGCTCGAGCAAGATCGGTATACTGAGGAGGCGTGGCACCTATTGATGGACACCAAGCGCGTGGTGCAACAACTGAATGTGGAGCTCTCTCCCCTGGTGGGCCGAAGCAACGATCTGGCAGCTCGCCTCAAGCAAACCATGCGCTATGCAAACGATGTGGACGCGTGCCTAGAGAATGGCCATTTCGGCCAGCAGGTGGAGCAGTTGCGCAAGTACGTCACCCTGGTCGATGCTCTCAAACTGCCAAGCAACACGGCCGGATCGCGCACCCTGGAATTTGTGGTGCTCAAGCTGGCCCTGGAGAAGTATCAACTGCCAGCCAAGCAGCTGCAGGTCGCCGACTATCTGCAGCGGGCGGATGCTGCGTGGACGACATATAAAAATACACAGATCATTCTAGCAGATAGCTGAATCTAGAATTCCTATATATAGCTTAATTTCACTATATTTGTAGATTTCCCTCGATATTTCTGTATCGCAGGAGTTGAAGAGATGTCAATCTAAAATGTATATACATACATACAAAGCGTGTATGTATATATGTATATTTAAGTGCGTTAAATTAAGAAACTGATGATAACATTTGACTAGTTTACTTAAGTTATTTATAAGAATACAAATGATCAAATACAATTAATACATCAAACTGCTTGCTTTAACATGAAATATATGTATTTTATGTGCCACGAAGTGCAAGTAACTAAAAGCTTATATCAATCAGCACCTGAAGACACTTTAGGCATCAAAAATATCCAAACTAAAAGAGATATCGTACAAAATAAAAATTGTAATTGAATGTAAATTAGAAAATATTACCATACTTATTTCAAAATATACTTTTTAATACATTTTTTACATAATTTGTTATATATGTATTTGCTTATAATAATTAATTATACTACTTAAACACCATCCCATCATGCGAGTAGAAATAGCGTTCTTTACAGTTTCATCATACTGCGAAAACAATACCTAAAACACAAAAAGGTTTCTATCGTTCCATTTACTAAGCCGCGATGTAAATGGTTGAAATCAGCTGTGAAAATATATTCTTAAAAACCGTTAGTGCTAGTCAGTTGCATTTAATTTTATATTCTGATATCTCTTTTAATTTAGATAAAACGTACGTAATGTGCATACAGCTAGCTATCTTGATAAGCCTATTTGAAGCTAGTTGTCTAGCAAAGAAGGGATCATGAATACATTGGTGATATTAGTTTAGCAGTATTAATGGAAATACTGTAGGACAAAGGTTTTTAGAAAATAAATTCAGCTTAACAGTTTAATACATGGCTATGTATTCACATATAAATTCTATGTATGCATATATGTATTCTAGGGAAGGGCCCGAACAAAAGCCGACTTCTATTAAGTGAAACAATAAGTAAAGGTGGCATTCAGAAAAAAAGGACTTCCTGTCGCTGCGTTTCGGTGTTCCACTTCAATGCTCGGCATTGCTACAGGTACAAGCCATAGCGAGAGCGACTGAGAGAGACGTTCATCTGACCTAAATCTCCCCTGGGCTGGTCCCATGGAAAATACGTTACGCACGCCGGGAATACGCTATAAGTGGAGGACCTCAGGTAGTCGCAGACAAACATAGCCACACACAAAGTGCGCCGACTGCCGCTGCCAGCTGCCACAGCCGTTGCCAATGCGCATGAAGAGAACAGACGGCGCAATAGGGTCGCTCCTCTCTCCATTCCTCAGTTCTGATATTCCTGAAACCCAAAACCACCACCACAAGCGTACAAGCTGAATATCAGAGTTGCCCATTAAAAACTGCCAAGTTTAGCAGTTAGTTGCAGAGTGAAGAAAAGGATAGAAACAGTGCTTAAACAGCTGAAAAAGATTAGAAATCCCGCAGTTTGCGCAATTAAATAGCTATATTTGGCGGGAATATGAAGGGTTCCTGTCAACACTGCTGCTTGTATATGTATATATGTGTATACTTGCATATGTATATACATATATACTTTTGTGTTGTGCGGGTAGGTACTTAAATGTGTATAGTGAAATTCTTATCTCAAATATGTGATACTCAATCACTTACAGTACTTGGTGTACTTGTCTGCTCTCAGTTTCCCTTAACGCTTCATTATGCTGTCAATAAGAACTACCATGAACAAAATTTTAATTTTTTCGTTGTATACGCAGATGTATACACACATACATACGTGCATATACATACAAGTCCTGCTGAGCATTGGCGAAATAATAAATCGGTACATTTGTAAGTGTATATAAAAACACGATTGGCCAATGCTGTAGCCAAATACAGGTTTCAGTAAAAACTGATCGAACCACTTTAAGCTATATATGCGAGGGCTGTTTTATGTTATGGTGAGAGATTAAAGCTAAGTAAAAACTTAGCAATATATGTATATACAAAAAATTTATGATGAATGAAGGAATATCAAAGGATATCACAAAAATTAAGTACACATAAATTTGAATCCAAGTCGAGTGTGGAACAGAACAATTCCTGTTTGAAAATAATGTTAGCACTAACAGCAAAAATCGATAACGATTGTCCTTTACAGCACGAGCTCAAGTTACACAGTGCCACAGAAAATATATCGACTATACCAGTATTTCTTAAAATGTATTAGTAGGTTATTGATCAAATCGATCGTATTACCATAATTATATGCTACTTTGATCATACAGCGATATCGATAGTTACGATTGGTGAAAGCTATTAATTGTCACACAGAATACAAACAATTTTTTACTCTTGTGATTAACGTTTTTCAAAGTATCTTATTAAGGCTTACCAATGCCAAGTCACATTGGATTTTAATAAATATTTTGAAATTATGTTTTAGGAATATTTCAATATGCTTATAGCTAATCTTAAAGCTGTTGTTTCTATTCAGAAGAACAATGTTTATTAATTTGGTTTAAAATTCCGTAGTATTTTCAGCACCTCGATTTGAAAATCTAGTTTCTGATCACTGCTCATGCGCTGCATGTGCGGCTTAATGCTATCGAAAAATGCCTGATCTGGATCCGGATCGGCACTGATAGCTGTTGCAGGAAGCGCAGATGAACTATTGAGTTCCGCAGTGTAGGAGCTGCTCGTGTCGGTTCCCTTAGCGACAGGCAGGGTTGCGTCGGTGCCTGTTGTGTAGTTTAAGTGATCCAGCACCGAGTTGACACTGTCCTCCGCCAATGTCGTCTCATTGTCTTGTTCTGGTGCAGGGTTTTCTGATGCACGACGCCGTTTTACCGGCGTTCGTGATATGCGAAATTGTTTGCGTTTCTTTGGTTCATCTTTTTGTGAGTCTGTGTCGTCCTCTGCTTTGACATCGAGCAGGAAGTTCAGCTCCTTCTCGTAAATGTAGGAGGCGCGGCCGATCTCCTCGCCGCTTTGTCGCAGCCGATTTACGCGCAGATAACTGTCGCGCGTGTTCTTCCAGCGTTTGAGCAATGTTTTTGCTATAACAAATTCAATTTAGATTAAAGGCTCTATTTCTGACCATTCATTGAATCATTTACCGATTTCCTGTTTCTCTGCGCTGCTCGACACCTCGAAATTCTTGCACAGCTGTTGGCCAATCTGTTGCCAGGCCAGATCGCGAAGCTCGCGGTTGTGGAAATTTTCATGCTCTCGATCCCAAATGATGTGATGTTTCTTCACAGCCTCAATAAAATCGTACATGGAGTACCTCAGATTGATTCCAGCTGTTTTCAGCACTTTGTGATTGCCCATCGCAATAAAAATTTTCTTGTTTATGCGGCAAATTTTTATTTGTGTGTGTGATTGTGAACAAAACGCGCGCGTAAACAACGTGCTGGCTACAAAAACAGCTAAAAACTGATACTAGACGCGTGAGAAAAACGCTAGCAAAGCGCACGACAATCGCTAATGGTGCTGCCAGACTGTTAGAAAAAGATATTGGTGTTGATTCCAGCAAATTGAATTCTTTTTCTCACTTCTTTATTTACGTTTAAAAGCTTAAGTATGAACCAAATATTTAGTTTTCCTATAAAATGCACTTTTTAATTGTGTTATGAAAAATAATGTTTCATTTTTTTATTAGACATAGGTCAGTATTACATATATTGTTCAATAGGTGCAACAAAAGAGGTCTGCGTTTTATGACAACTAATACATGTGACAGATTGTTAGGCGAACTAGCGATGCAAGTGAATGTTTGAGAAACGCAGTTTGTGTATTGTGGTTGATGTTTCGTGTTGTGTTGATTTTAACTCTTTTTTTATTTTAAATTGTATTTTTCTGCTTTACATGGGCCTGCCCATACCACGGCCCATGCCCATGCCCCCACCGGCCATCGGTGGTTCACCGGCTTTGGGGCTTTTTATTGTCTCATCCACGGAGAGTATCATGCAAGCGGCCTCTGCGGCAGCGGTGAGCGCATTTATCTTAATAATCGATGGCTCCCACACGCACTGCTCGAAGTTATCGGAAATGTCTTCCTTGGTGATGTCAACACCGTACCATTGTCCACCTTAAAAGAAATAAACAAATAAAACGAATAAATAAATTATTTGAAAACCCAACTTACAAATGTATCGATACATTAAATTATTCGTGTAGATACGCTCATCTCTAAACTTTCTTTCAACAGAGCAACAACTTTGAGCACGTTGGCATCGCCGTTGTAAACATGACCGCGCGCAAGACAGAGCAGCAAATATGCAGATGGAGGCAACTGGTGCGAAAGAGCACACACCAGCTAACAATGGGTGCGAAAGAGCACACACTATGTACAACAAATGCCCAACGAAAGAGCTGCCAAGACAGACACGCGCTTATTTCGAGCAGAAAATTCCACATTATAAATCACAAATAAGCAGAAATAAATAAAGCAAAATGTCAACATCGGGACGGAAACGTAAACAGCAACTAAAGCCGCGTCAAGATGTGCACCGTTCGCCGGTGAAGCGGCAAAGTTTAGACGTTAAAACGGAACCGCTGCTAACCAGCGTCTATCCCCTGGCCGACTATGACTGTGTGGACATAAAACCCGACCTGACCGAGCTCCAGCTGCAGCTCGCAGTGGCAAGTCAAAATGAAGTGACAGCAGCAGCCGCCGCAGCAGCAACAGCTACAGTTGTGCCATCCTTAGGCGATGATGAAAAACCAGAGTTGGAGCAGCAGAGTGATTCAGACGAGGATGGTTATTCGGAAATTAATTTTGGTGCAGAGCACGATGTTTTTTGTGATGGTAAAAATTCTACAAATTACAATATTTGGATATCACGAAAAGTACTCAAAATTAGCTATTTCTATGGCTGGGCTCCAAATGTGATTTTATGATAAATAAATTATTATATAAACATATACTTATTTATATACTAAAGTATTTATCATCAAATTTCGGATTATATATTACTTATGCCGTTAATGATAAGATAAATGGGGTTATAATTTGAAAATCAAACAGATCGAAGTTGTCAATTTGAAAATTTAGTTTCTGCTCAGCTGTTATTTACGAGGGCATTTTGAAACATAGGATATAATATATATAAACATATATATTATTCAGAACTGGTTTATAAGCCTATTTTACTTAATTGAAATATATATATAGGAATGACAATTTACAATAAAATTGTTACATTTGGAAACATTTATATTAAAAAATTTGTCAAGCTAACTTCGTAAATACAAGACTAATATTCTCAATTGAAATTGCTAGATATAGAATATATAATATTTGTCTAAGGCTAACTTCTACTGCTCGATCTCGCTTTAGATGAAGTTGACGACTATGATCCGGAGTGGACGGCAACGCAAACGACGCCCCGACTGATATTTAAGTTCTACGCACAACCTGGGCAAACGGGACTCAAGGCACTGAGGAAGTTGACCTGCCCCTTGTACTACTTCAACCAGCTGCTGGGCAATCGGGTCGAGTTCTTTGGCCAGCTGGCGGGTGGCTGCAATGGACGCAATGCCACACTAAAGGCCAGCGCCGAGGAGCTGGAAACATTTGTGGGGCTCAGCTTGCTGATGTGTGATATGAAACTGCCTCAGCTGAGCGACTATTGGAGCGAGCACACATTTCAAGGATTTTCGGGATTCACGTCCAAAATGGGGCAGCAGCGCTATCTGGATCTGCTGCACTCGCTCAGCTTCGCCATGCTGCCAGGAGCGGGCACAATGGAAAGCACAGCCGCTGGAGATGCGGGCAAGCTGATAAACTTCTATAATGCGCGCATGGCGGAGCTATATGCGAGCGGGCAGCAGCTGGTGCTCAACGAGCCCATTGTCCAGTGGAAGGGACGATTCAGTTACCACAACGAGCTGCCGCTGAAGCAGCGCAACAATGCGCTTACGCTGCACCTGCTGAGCGAGCAGAGCGGCTTGGTCATACGCATGCTGCCGGAACGCGTGGACCCACAGCGACAGCTGGCGCGCAATTCCCGGCAGCTGGTGGCCCATCGCTGCGAGCTGGTGCTGCAGCTCCTCCAGTCGCATGTGCAGCGCGGCCACAGTGTCTACGCGTGCAAATATTACGGCAGCTATGGACTGGCGCACGAGCTGGCCAAGCTGGGCACCTATTGCAGCGGGCTGCTGGACCGAAATCGCTACGGGAACAGCAAGGCGCTCATCTACCAGCAGCTGTCACCCAATAGCATCGCTACCAGATATGCCACGCCCCTCATGATGGCCAAGTGGCGGCGGCGCCGAGAGAAGTGCGTCTATTTCTACAGTTCCGACTGCCTGGCCATCTACGCCAAGGAGATGTCCATGCAGAAGATAAACGCCCGGCCAAAGCTCATTCAGGAGCTGGACTTCCAGCTACGACCCACGGCTCAGTCCACGCGCCAGCAGCTGATCAGCTCCCAGCCGAGCTGCGCGGGTCTGCAGCAGCAGCAGCARCTGGCCATCTTCCTGCTCAATCTGCTGGTCTTCAATGCACATGTGCTCTACGTGGGCAATGCACAGCCGACGCGCGGCTTTGATGCCACCAAACTGAAGAGCTACGCCGAGTTCCGGACGAGCATCATCAAGTCTCTGCTCAAGGAGGATCAGGCGACGCCGGCTGCTGCCGCAACTGCAGCATCGCCGACCACCCCCAACGCGAGCAGCAAGCGACAGGACCAATCACATTCGAAGAGATCCACCAACCAGCGGGGATCAGCGGCATCAACCGCACAGCCCGAGCCCGAACCTGAGCCCAAGCACGAATTGATACTCATTCAGCGAAATGGGAAGCCAACGCGCAAGAACTGCAGGCATTGCCACAAGGGAGGCATGCTGCAGTTCACCCGGTACATGTGCAAGCTCTGCCCGGATATGCCGGGTCTCTGCCTGAATCCCTGCTTTCGCCTCTGGCACGACCTCCTGCAGCAGCAGCAGAAGAGTCCGAATTGAGTCGCGTTGGATGCAAGACGAATGAAAACATAATGAACTACAAACTGATTTCAAATGGATCAAGATATAGATAAGCCATAATATTATATGCCTAGATAGCTAACATGGATATCAAGGGCTATCTTGTTTGTTAAGAATTCTAATGAATACCTCTTATAATGAGAATGTACATCCAACAATCAATATTTTCATTCACTATCTGTGTCCCCGTTTATTGGAAGTACTTCAAGTCGAGAATGTTTGTATATATTAGAAGCACGCTAATTTTGTAACTCTATTCAAATACATATATTCAGAAATCATATTTCATGAGTACGTTTCGACGAATTCAATGTTTTTATATGATTTTATTCTATGTGTCCTCGTCCATAAAAAGTATTTCTAGCTGGAAATATTTGTATATATAGTTTCTATTAAAATATATATACCAAATAWTATGTGTTTGATTGGCTAATTGAATTTACATTCTGTATATGTACCCCCGTTCATATATTCTATAGGAAATTAATTCTTTATTCCTATACGAACATATACACATTGTCCATTGGTTTAGTTTAAATATAAAGTATTGCAGAGTATATTTCAAGTTAATTGCAGCTAAAAATTGTTAGTTTGTCTTTAATATGGAAAATGTAAGCCCACTCAATATAAATTTTGGTCATAGCATTTTCGGTATGGAATACCTAAAGTATAAGAAAAAGCCAAAGGGATTGAGCGAAAAGTTTCAAACAACTTGTTTGTGTCAAAAAGTTTAGATTGATAGATCCCTTAGGAGTAGATCTAATATAATAACAAAAACTGTAACTGCTAATATAAATAAAAATAAATATAATAAAAAAATTCAAATTTTCAAAGTCTATTCCCAAAGAAATCAGACTAATCGGATCTAAATTGAATTGACAGCATCAATATTGAATAGAATCAATTATTGAATAAAGAACCCAAAAACTGTCAGGTTGAAGCTGATAGGAATTTTTCACTCACCTTGGGCATGTTTCTGGCGCAACTTGTTGAGAATGTTGGTGGCATCGAAGCCAGCATTGTCGCACAGCTGTCGTGGAATCACTTCCAAGCCCTTGGCAATGGCGGCAATCAGCAGCTGCTCCTTGCCTGCAATAGTGCGTGAATAGTCTCGCAGCACCTTGGACAACTCCATTTCGATGGCGCCGCCGCCGGCAACGACCGAATCGTGTTTAATGGTGCGACGCACGATCATGATGGCATCGTGCAGAGAGCGCTCCGTCTCCTCGAGGAACTGTTCAGCTCCGCCGCGTAGGATCAGGGTGCTGGTCTTAGCATTGGGACAGCCTACAGAATATATATATGTCAGACTGGAGCTGTATTTTTTGCAATAGTATTTAATGCCCACCTTGGAATAGATTGAATCGGTCGCCACCCACTTGTCGCTCCTCGAAACGCTCGCAAAAACCGAGAACACTGGGTTTGATGTCGTTGGCCGTGGTCATGACGGCGCCGCCGCAGGCCTTCATTGTACGCTTGAGATCCTCATCGGGGACGCGGCCAGCGCAAAACATGTTACGATCGGCAAAATACTGTGTGGCAACGTCGCCAATTGGCAGCTTGGAGAGCACCACATTGGCGCCGGACTCATGGATTTTGGCCAATTTGTTGTACAATATCTGCCACTCGGCGTCTACGACTTTCTGGTACTCCTTGACATTGTCCACGCGGATCTCGGCATTGTCACGCTCGGCCTTCAGTTCCAGTTCGATGTTGAGCAAAGCTATTTTGCACTTCTCATAGGATTTGGGCGCCATCTCGAAGCCGGCGTACGAGAAGGTCTTCTTAAATGCAACACCAGAGACCAGCTGGGATTCCTCCAGAGAGCCGCCGGCCACCTTCTTGATGCCAATCATATTCAGTGGCAGCAGCTCATCCAGTGACAGGACAGCGTCCACAACGATTTTCGAAAAGAAATCCTTTTGCTGATGAATGAGCTTGGAAGACATGGCCGTTGCGGCGCACTTCTCCAGTAGAGTACGCTGCTCCTCCTTGGACTGCTTCTCAATGCGCACTGCCATCTCGTTGATCTTCTCCATGCAGAGCTGTAGCGCCTTACGTATGGCTTTGATCACAATGCGTGGATGGACGCCTTCCTCAATGAAGGGTTTCACCTGCTTGAGGAACTCGCCAGCCAGCAGTACAACCGATGTGGTGCCATCGCCCACCTGTTGATTGATTCATAAGTCCCGTGACCAAAAAAATATCAGACTCGAATCTTACCTCGGCGTCCTGTGACTTGGCGATGTCTACCAATGTTTTGGCGGCAGGGTGCACAATATCCAGGAGCTTCATGATGGTGGCGCCATCATTTGAGATTGTTGCCTTGCCCTGTGAATTCACAATCAGTTTATCCATGCCTCGCGGGCCCAAGGTAGTGCGCACTGCATCCACAATCGATTGGCAGGCATTGATATTCGATATCAACTGCGGCTTGCCTTGGGACGTGTCAGTGCCTTCCTTCAGGAGCACAATTTGTGGCTGCTGTAGATGCAAACAAAATATAACAGTAAGTTAGTCAGCCGTTCTGTCATTCCACACAGCTTGCAGCGAGAGCGAAAGAGAGGGCAGTTCGGGGGTTGTCGGTTTTACGAGAAGCTTCTTTGCAGGTTATGTTCTGTGTGCCGCATGATGGACAGCTGCATTTGAATGCAGTTCAATAAGAACTTGTTGCTTATATTATTAGCTGATTGCACTTATTGAAAATTTATACAAATTAACTATAGTCACGCGGTGCACATGGTGTTTGAAACGATTAGTGTGTGTCATTACTTAAATAAATTAATTAAATCGCTGCATTTGTATTTCTCACATGGTAATTTACATCTTTACTAACCATATTGGAGTGATGGATTTGCCGTTATACGTTTATACTAGCTAGAACAATCAATTTTTGTAGCAGACAGGCGGCAATACGATTTTCTTTCACGTTTTCCGCAATGAGTAAGCGGCAGACCAGCGCTTTATCGATAACAATAACGATATTCAAGTAGACCTGCTAACTTATTTGAAATGATAAATTGCAAAAACAGTATTATATTTGTATCGAACATAAAATACTGCAGCTTGTATTTTTTGCAAGTTTATTGCCGATAATTGCTTATCGAGTGTTACGCTGTGACATATGTAATGATTTAAATGTAACCGTTAAAAGGGCATTTGTAAATTCTAAATGAATTAAAATTAGTTAATGCTTGTAACAAGAAATGAGATAAGAAGAGCGAAAATTGTAAATATCCTTTTATAGATAAATTGAGCAGCTCTGATTTTATTTGTCCCATTTTATACAAACTTCAAATATAGCTTCGTTATTTTCTAGCTATTTTTATAATATTGGCGATCTTCCACACATTTTCCATTTTAGAATGTGTTGCGTGCTTTTAGTTTGTTCCGACCGCTCAACTTGAGTGAGTTGTTCGTTTCGAGCAGAGAAGCTAATAAAGAAAATAATACAAATAAATAAAGAAAAAGAAAAACATAAGTTCAATTTATTTAAAAACGATGTTCAAATAGTTTTCACCTAAATCTAATTCGGTAAATGGAATTGGAATTTTAGTTGCTCAACGTTAACTAAATTGAGTAAAGAATCGAAACATGTCAAGTGAACTTGCAAATTAATGTGATTACGACACCGAGCTTGGATAATGAAATGTAATTGCATTCAAGGAGTAAGTATTTCAAGCAATCTGCATATAGAAATACTCAATCACACTGAGTTCTCTTTAAGAATTCTATTTATGTAAAATCTGGCTGTCCTAATTGTGTCTATCATTCAACATGTCGTTAAGTCGTTGTCAAAAATTTATGTGTCATTTGTAAAGCTCCAGCTGCTGTTGCTGCTGTTCCTGCTTCTGCTGTTGCCGGCATCAAATAGTTCTCATAGCATATATATCCATTACAAATGGCCAGATATGGTATCTAATAAAAATGTTGAGTAAGCATGTGACATGCTTAAAGATTCTGCTTTGCTAATAAGGTTTAATTATACTCTCTCAGGTAGTTCATTGACCTGAAATTGGTCTAACATTTAAAGAAATCAAATTGGATTTTTATTCAATCTTTAGGATAATATTGAATTGTTTGTTTGGAAATTTCATATAAGGAATAGAAATAAATATAAATAAATATTACTGATCAATACTTATGATTATAAGTGGTATTAAATAAGGATGAGGTTTCGATTTAAATGCTTAAAGTGCTGCCTTAGTTATATGACTCAATATTTTTTAAAGAAGATACAGGGTATGCACTCTTCGAACACTCTTTCGTTTGTTTTGGTTTTTGAAACAGATAAAAATTCAATTGTACCTTTATTTATGAAATACTAAGTTCATTTAACTAATTAGTATCATTTAGCATTTAGTATAAATTATTTGGCTATTTGTGAAAAGCATCTTCAAATTTCTTGAAAACGATAAATATCGATAATCGCTTCTAGATTGATCACTGGCTAAATATGTTCCTTCTTTATTAGAGACAATTTAGTTAAATTTCAATTTAGGATCTCGCACAGAAGATTCTGATCGCAGGGTATGAGCACGTCGGACAGTCCCTCTAGATGTTTATGTTTCTTGTTGTGTTTTGTTATGAATGCAGGCAAAACAAATACTTAAGATTTAAACAATTTGGTGTTTCCGGCAGCGCCTGAAAACTTTTGTTGGTTTGGTCCGAAAGCTTTACACCCCTCCAGGCGGCGATTGACCTCAGTTCCCACCCCACACACACACACACAAACATACACTTGCAACTACACACCCAGAGAGATATACAAATGCCAAAGCTTTCCTTAATTAAATGGAACAAAATGTGAAAAGCTACAGAAAAGCTTTCTGCCGAGTTAGTCAATCGGTGTCCGACCGAAACGAAAGATCTCCGCAACCGCTAAGCAAAACGAAACTAGAATAGAACGTTTTAAATAATTAAGGAATTGAATTTAATTAAGAGATAGAATATTTATACTCATTAGATTCTCGACAACAGCTGAAATATTTTTGAACGAAACAAAATATTGAAAGGCTACTTGTAACGAGCTCCGCGAAGAAAGCAAAGCAAATCGCAACGAATTGTGTGAAAAGTCGAAAGATGATTTATTGAAACAATTACAATTTCAGCATATGTATATTGAAAGTGAATATATACTACATTTGTATATTTGTTTCCACTAGTCCGCGGCGCGTTCTATACTAAAATAAGCCGTGGTATAGATATTGACGTCATTGCGAAATACACTGTGAGAAACACCAGAGACCGACAAGTAAATAAACATTTGTGCGTGTTTTTTTATGTTACGAAACTTTCGAGGAGTGGGAGCAACAATTTCTTTATGTTAATTACGAGATGCCAGCCAAGGCAAAGCCCAAATCAAAAAGAAACTGTTTGTTCTAGTTAATAGATATCCAAGGTTTTCAACATTAATGGTGCGTATATATATGTATTTATTTATATATATGTAAATTTTTGTGTGTTTATGTGTACGGTCTGCAATGAATCAGCATTATAATTATCTATAGATACATATTGTACAAGTATTTTAACGACTCATCATTTCGAAATCTTTTGCTCATGTTGGACAGCAAAGTTGTTTTCAAATTTTAAAAAATTGTGCACTAATTTTGGTTATACCCTGTATTCAGTACGGATCGAGTAACTTATACTATAGCTCTGGTCATTTGCTTATAATATATATTACTTATTAAAGTGTACATTTATATATTTTTATAAAAACTTAAATATTATTATGATCTTGAAAAGTAATTTACAGAAAGTGTCTTACGCCATTCACCAAATACCAATTTTTATTTGTTAATATATATTTGCTAAAGAATAATCCGTTAACGGATAATATATAAATACCATAGATCTCTTGGATAGATATATACTTATATTATTTTTTACGTATATTTCATAGCTAACATTTCAAGACCAGAAAGTTTCTTAAGCCATTTGCTGGGTATATTGAGGATGCGCATACCCCAGCAGGGCAATTTTACTTGTCCATGGTGAGAGCTGTTGTAGGCGGCCTGACTTGCCTTTCGATGTTGATGTCACCATGTCGTGTGTTTCAACCCGAATAACACTTCATTCATCTATTCGCACATTTTTAATTAGATTAAACATTTAATTAATTTACTTTATTATTCAACCAGAAGTTACTTAAGCAATATGCAATTCAGACTCAGCCTTATCGACTATATATATTTATAGTACCCAGTATATGTACAAAGTATATAAAGCTTATGTAGATCGATGGCCTTGATAAAGATGATCATTTAATATTTTATTCGAGAGCGTGTGCCTTATGAACCGCTCTCAATCTGCTCTATATATATACTATATATTCTTTATATATATTTATACTTGTGTATCGTTAGCATTAAGCGGATGCATGAACAATGTAAAGAATTTTGTGCGGTGCTCCATTTGCCCCATCATAAAATACAATTCTCATGTGCGTGGTACAGCAACGCCCCACCGGGTGGCTCTACATACGATATATCATGTTCAGAGGCGCGCCGCTTGACGTCATTTTAGATGTAGTCAGAGCTTACTTAGTAACGCTAACTAGTCTGTTTAGCTGGTGTGCTGTTAGCTACGTGCCACATGCCGCATGCCGCATGCCACTAGCCCCAACAATAGTGTGGCACTTACCATATCACTTGCTGTATAAATCAATAAAAGGGGTCTAAACTTGTTGATAGAACACATAACAACATAACAACAAAGTGGAAGAACAAGAGAGAACGTTGCGGTCGGACGCAACCGACTGCTTGATACTTGTTTACGTTTCAGGCATGGTAGACTGAATGAATGTACTATTTATGTTTTCCGATTCGAGTACACCTCTAATTTACGACTAATTATGGGATGGTTTCTGATTCCGACGCTTCCAGTGGACGCATTTATAATTATACTCAATTACAAAGTGCAATGAGTACATTAGTTCCGTCCGTCTTGCTGTCTGCCTGTTCGTACGTAAATGCGTAGCACTAGCAAAGGTCTTATTTGTTTATATTTATGTTTATGTCTGAGCTATAGCCATGGAGTTTTTCCCTGTTTGTCATATTCAAAGAGGATATAACTTTTATTTTTCCCGATTTTTGCATGTCCCAAATGGACCATGCTTTTTAATCCTAATCTAGAAATATACAAATATATTTAAAGTCTCGATCTCTCATAGGTAGAATCGATATACTCTTTATATGTGTAAAGAACGAGTATTTTCCTACTAAGCAAACAACACAAGGCGCTTAGAAGTAAACGAACGCTGAAGAAGCCTCTCAAGTATTTTTCCAATTTGCTTGCAGATAAATCCTAAATGGTACTCAGCGGGTGCAGAATTGATCAATATATAGATGCCATATATTGCCATGGGTCGAGGAGACTTTCCGTAGGTCGGACCACACCGTATATGCAGCATATACATTATAGATACATATATTAGAATATATTTATTGAAAAAAAAAAAAAGAAATTAAACGACGGCTATATTTTTGTATGAAGTTTACACAGAAATAAAACCGAAAAAATGGCTGAAAATCAAATAATAACGACCTCTAGCAAAGGGTTAAATGAGAGAAACGCACACATCCTGTCGCCCCACAATGGGGCGGTGCGTAAACAGGAGTACGAGAGGAAATCCAATGAGAACCAGAGCTTCCAAGAAGACTTGGTCAAAAACAAACTAAAGAGAAAGAAGAAGCTGAGCGCATCGCTCACCTCCGTTGGGGACGCCGTCAACCAGGAGAAACGCACACGCATCGAGGGCATCAATTTGAATATTAAGCCCCGTTACAAGGACACCAACGGCACACACGAGTCGGGCGCCGCGAGGCCCCCAGCAGCCAGGCCGACTCCCAAAGTGGAGCGGCCCATCATCATAGGTGGCGTCAATGTGCTTTCAGCAGCGCCGCAGCGCTTCAAGCGCAAACTTCAAGAGAATGTGGACACAATACAAAAGCTGAACGCACTCGCCGAGCAGCTGCGTTTGGAAGTGAATGAGGTAGCTACATAGTATAGCAAATAATTAGCTGCGCTATTTAGTTTTTATTTCCACTTTCAGCTAAAGTCCAGCCTGATAACAGAGCGCGGTGCTGTGCGCGCCCTAAGGTACGTAACGCCCCGACTATTGACTCGGATGACACAAGCTACTTTCTTTGTTTCCACACAATTATTTCCATATATTTAGTACTGTCAGCAGAGAAAACTTAGACATGATTCTTTATTAGTTCATTTTTAAGACTCTGCTCTGATCAGACATATTCATAGAAATGATTGATGAAGATTCTCTTTCAACTATTTTAAAGGAAGGATTACGTGGAAGGCATATTAAAGATGGCTCTTATGTAGACCGAAAGGAATAGAGAGAGTGAAAAAAGGCAGATAGGCAGATGAGAAACAGATAGACAGAGAGAGAGAGAGAGAGAGAGAGCGAGAGAAAGGTAGAGAGCGAGCGAGAGAATGTCGAGAGATAGAGAGAGTGAGGCAGATGAAGAGAGAGAGAGAGAGAGAGAGCAAGAGAGAGAATGCGAGAGGGAGTGAAAGAAGGAGAGAGTATGTGAAAGAGAGGGTGAAAGAAGAAAATTTAAAGAGGGAGAGAAAGATAGAAATGGAGAGAAGAGACAGATGGATAGGAAAACAGTGATTGTGAGAGTAAGAAAGAATGACAGCAAAATTAAGATAGCGCGATAGAGACAGAGATAGAGGCAGTCAGAGAGAGAGAGAGAGAAAGTAAGTAAGAAATAAAGGAATAAAGGAAGAAATAAAAATAGACAGAACGAGAGTGATATGATAAAACCATTATACCCTGATTTCCCATTTTCAATGGGTTCGGGGTATAAAAAGGAGAACAGACAAAGAAAGAAAGTTGTATAGAGTAAAGCGGAAGAGTCAGCCCAAGTACTTAATTTCACTTTCGGCTCGCTTACAGGGCACAGAACGATGCCGACAGCCGAAAATGGCGAAACGAAGTAAAGAAGCTGCAACAGACTCTGGAGACAGCCAGAAAATCATCAAGTGGAACAAAGAAACCCAACGAGCCGGCCTCCGCTGAGGCTGGCAGTAGCCTTGTGGCCGCCGATGGCCTAATCAACTATGAAATCCAAAGACTGACTAATGAAATTGCCATGCTAAAGGAAGCAAACAAATCCAAAGAGGAGAAAACCCAGGTACATATCTCCCATATATATATGCATGTTTATATTGTATGTATAGAGCTTATATGCATGCCGTTGTCTAGCGATTGCGCTTTGCTTTGGCCCAGTTATGTTGCAGCAACTCCCATAAGTGTATCAAGACCGCCAGAGCCAGGCCAACGCCCCACAGAAAGAATACGGCGTGAAAGTGCTCCAGTTTGAGAACGACCGGATCGTCGCTGTTGTTGTGCCGCCGATTGTTTTGCACCTTGGTGCCAGACTTAATGAAGGCTGTGCTCATAATACGATCCCAATAGCGCTCGAAGCCGAACTCGTGTGCCCCGCGAATGAGCTGATTGATAAAGCCCAAATAGGGCGACCCATAGGGAACCGTGTAGACCCCGTGGAAGGGCACCAGGCAGCTGTCCATGAGGTGAAATAACGGTCGTCCGAGATGCATGTGCTGCCTGGCATTCACCTGAAACGAGGCAATGTGATACTTCTCCAAATAGGCATACGACTGGTCGTTGTGATTGAAGTGGTTGAGCAGCTCCGTATCGGGTACCTCCTGCATCAGTTCTCTAATCCTCGCCTCGTGCTCGCGACCATTGCTCAGGAACTGGCGTATGTGCTTCATGTGACGCGATCGTATGAGTATCTTGTACGACGAAGCGGCTAGCTCACTCAGGTCATTGATGTCCGGCATCGACTTCCGATAGACCATAATGCTGGTCAAATTGCCCCGAAAAGCGGTGCTAATCAGCATTCCAAAGTATAGCCAAAAGATGAGGAACATGCTGACACAACTGTTGCGCGGCACATGTGCCAAGGGCTGCGCCAAGGTGGAGGAGAACAGGTCCAGGGCCCCTCCTTGGCCAAAGCGACGTTTGTCTAGAAGTGCGTTTGATGTATAAGACAGTCATACTAGACTAGACTAGAACGGAATCACTGACTAGAAAATAGCTCAAATGTAGGCTGTGCAGAAGGAAATTCCTGTAAGGGCAAATTTTTTAAAGGGAGTTGCTGGGGAGTTGGAGCTGGAGTTGACGAACTTAAAAGAAGAAAATAAGAATGATGAGATATAGAAGAGAGAAGACAAGGAAATTGCTGTGTGGGGAATAGGCGAATACAAGAAAATTTTCCCGTTAAGGGGATTTCATGGGAAGGAATTGTGGACAAGAAAGTAGTTAAGAAAGAAAGTAGGGGGGAAAAGAAGAGAGTTACAGAGTAGGGAGCAGGTAAAAAGAATGGGAATTTCCTTATTCTGAGGAAAATTAAAAAAAAATAAAGGTGTTGGGAATTATTGATAGAAGAATTACTGATAGGGGAATTTCTGATATGAAGAGCAGGGAAAATCAAAGTCGAAAAAACGAGAAGATATTTCACTCACACCGTCCGTGCCTAGGTAGGGATGAGGTGGAAAAAAACAACAGCTGGCAAAAGAGATAGGAGAGCAGCACGGAGATGCCTATGGCCAGCCAAACCCAGCCTCCAAAGGAGCGGAATATGTTCCAGAATAATAGTTCCGCCTTGGCTTTGGGTACGATTACGCAGAGATCGTCTCGATTGTGCGCGATGGTCGGTTCGATGCTGTTTTTGAAGGTTTTCGGTGCCAGGAAACGGATATTCATAGCCACGTCATCGAACTCGTTGGCTATCTCCTTGGAGCATATATCCGTACTCCGGTTGTAGAACAACGGGCGTGTGATTATTCTGGTCGCATTCAAACGCTTAGCTATGTAGCTGGCCAGCAGTCCATCGGAGCCCATGAGCTTGCCCTTCCGGCCGTAAATAGCACGCACATCGTCCATGTAGAGGCACATACGCAGCGGCTTGCGATGCATATTCGGGATGCTCTTTGGGAACAACTGCTGCAGGGTTGGCGACTGGTTCTGGCTGAGGTCCACGGGCAGCAGAAAGTCATCCGTGAAGGGATTGTAGCGATAGATATGGAGTCGCTCATCCCGGTAGAATATTATAACAATGTTCAACAGCCAAATGCTCCAGAATTGACGGAAGCTCGCGCGCATCCAGCCTAAGGAGAGATTCTCTGCATTCCGCACGAGCAGCAGAACATGGGACAGATGCTTGGCCGCGGACTTCTTGTTGATCAGGGATAACTTTAGGGGCTGCGATATGTCCTTGATTATCATGACCATGTACATCAATATGCCGTCATCTTTGACTGCCTCGAGCGGAACTGATTTCTTCCTGTTGGCGAAATTTCAATTTACATAATACTTATAATGAGTGAAAGATAAATATTTTCTATATATATTTTTATTCTTATTTTAAAGTTGGTAATATTCCAATGAATACCAGACCAGAAATATTATAATATTATAATATTGTGAATAAATTTCTCGAGAGTCGCGAAAATAAGAAACAAAGCAAACTGAGAAGCGGCAGTAGTTTATAGGGTTAATCAAGTCGTTTATAATTTATTTTGACTTTGAACGACACGAGCAGCATATTTAATCTTGAAACTAAGCTATTGAATGATTCCGAATTTCAGACGTTTGCTTTGTGGATTCACCTTTTTATGTTTATATGAGATAGACCATTTTTTTTTTAGAGTAGTACTACTTTCTATATAGCTTTAAAAATGGGTGCGATTACTGTGACGGTTCACTGATTAAACTTGTTTAGTATACCTGATAGATATATAGGAAGTATCGCATTTGGTGACCTCGCGCAGTATTTCGCCGGAATGATCGTGTGTCGTTTGATTTTCAAAGTACACGAAGAGCACCTTGATGCGGGCACGACAGAGAATTTTGCCAACCTCTACCATAAGATTCGAGTCCTCATCCCAGGGCAATAAGAGTGGATTCGCAGCGGCATTTAGCTGGAGTATTCCCTCCAGAAAGAGGAGCAGGACAGTCAACGAGTGGAGCGTAGCTGCCATTGTGAACTAGTGCGAAAATTTGGGGCACACATCCTTGCTTTTATAGCAGCCAGGTGTAATTTAATTAATGCTTCGCCTGTCTGACAGCCAACAAATATTGTTTTGTTTCTTGTTTTTTGTTTGCTTGGATTACATTGTTTGCTATATGTCACGTTTCGCTAATGGAAAGTGCGACTAAGTGCAACTAACAGCATGCCAAATGAGCTTTTTGTTTTAGTTCTTTTGATGTTCGATAAGCTGGTTGCACATTCGAAAATATATGTACAGTTATGGCAGAGAAATAACATAAATACACGGCATACGTGACGATTTCTTGCAGATCATTGGGCAAGCTGATAGACGAAAGGCAGCTGATATGCGCCAATTGAAAACTGCATATGAAAACCGATTGACTCAGTTACAAAAGTCAGCCAAAATTGAAATAACACGTTTGGTAAGTTACGCACAGACGGCTCTGGCGAGAAATTTGGAAGCCAAACGCAGTACGTCGATGCCGTCGAAGCGGAGGGGCAACTTTTTATACCCTACCCCTGAAGCAGGGTATATGATATCTTTGCTTGAGATGAATGCAATAGGCAGAAAGGGAAAGGCTTATATTATTTATATATTCCTCAACTGCCGATTATATACACGTTAAAAATATTTGAGACAGGGTATATGGTATTTGATTGAGATGCAAGCAGTAAGGGCAATAGAGGCTATAGAGTTATATTTGATTGCTATCTGACTTGAATCAACATCTGTATTCAACATACTGCTGTCTGTTTATCTATTCGTCCGCTGCACGAATCCCTGAAACACTCATACATAGTAGAGGCAGCAATAGAGAGAAAGGTGTTTAAAATAATTATAAAAGCTTAACTTCTCTCATGATTATATGTATCTTTACTTTTTCATTAAATATATATGTATACTGAAGAGCTTTGAAGTTAATTGAATATATAATTTATTTCCTGGGAAAACAAAATTTTAGAAAGAGTTCAAGGTATCTGCCAGTCGGACACAGCCGACCAGAGCAGTCTTTCTTGTTTATTATATCTCTTTCATACCCATACTTTATACATATATATCCAGTATATACATATATAACGAAGTATTTGCGTTGAAGTCTCGATGTTAAATGTGTGTTTAACTTCTGTCTCCCCTGTGTGTTATTGCAGCTAGAGGAAATCAAAACCAAAGAACGTAATATAGGACAACTGAAGAAGGATTTGCAGACACTGCAAAATGGCAAGAAACAATGTGAAGCCAAAACGAAACCCAAAACGAACGAATCAAGCCAAAAGCTTAAGAAGCCAACTACGAAAACAACAACTAAAACAACAACAACTGCAACAGCAGACACAATAACAATAGCAACTGCAAATGCTAAAAACGAAACAGACATCAAAGATACTCTACTACCAAATCCCCTACACCAGGCTCAAGTTACAACTGAGGTGAGTTGGTAACGAAAATTTCACATTTTAGGGTTGTCAACCTACATGACCGTATGATTCGTCATATATTTAATTTATATTTAATATGTATTTTGATATTTAAATATTCATATTTTGTATAATTATATATCATTCTGTTCACATAAGAAGAGAAAGGTTTTTATCAAGGTAGCTGCGCTGCTTCACTAAGTCTTTAAATATGCAAATATTGAACAACATTCATATGAGAATTTTGGGCATATTTCTCAACACTGGTGCAGAATTTTCAGAATTATGAGTTGTTTACCAACACTTATGAGATACTCCAGCTGGTGCAAGTAAAACTTTTGTTCTTACCAGTCAAAAAGACGTAAGAAACTTTACTCGATTTACTAGAAAGCGCGATAGTAAACGTAAAACAGATTAATCCCCATTTCATCGTCGCCAAATTCGGTTTATTGCATGTGACAGCTTGAAACAAGCTTAATTATATTGGCTCGTGAAATTGGATTACACTGAAAGTAAGACTGCCCCACACAACTGGATCTATAAGAGTCTCTCTTGACAGCATTTTTATTATACATAGGTACAAACTCTCAAGTGTTATTGCTATTTTAGTCAAGTGTCATTTGACCTCTTGTGGTTAAGTCCAGGTACTTGAACTTGGTGCGAAATAAAAACACTTTCAGTGAAACATAGCCGGGTTAAATGTTAAGATCTACCTGGAGATAACTTTGTAAAGCTACATATATGCATTTGTATCTGTATTTGTATGTGTATCATTTTTTCTGCTCTCGGTTATGCGCGATTGGCATGATCTATGATATAATTTTGCGTTAGTTATGAGAACGGCCGAAGACAACAATCGCCGTCTCGCGATAAAAACCTGCTACGCGGCTGAAACGTGAGACCGATAAAAAATCAAGAGTACTCAAGTGAGTAATACCTGGCTAAGAGATACCCTGATGAAACGAAGCTTTAGGCATTCCAGCTTATAGTCGTATACATGACGGATTACTCTTGTTCAACTCGAATCGCCTATTGATTCTGGTCAAGAATATAGTTGCCTTAATATACCTTCTGTCATGCTTTCGTCTGCCTGAGGCATTAGTTTCTGATCAATCAATATACCCTGCTCATACATTTCCAATGAATTCAGGGTGTAAAGACGAAAAAACGCACGACAAACACGCTGCAAGCAACTGCATTGCAGCGCAAGTGTTGCAAGTCGATCAAACAAGAGAGCGAGCAGCAGAGCGTGCGGGAGGCGAAGCAAAAGAGAGCGTAAAACAAAAGCCGGTTTTGCACTAACAGACACACACACACACACACACGCATGTAGAGAGCGAAAGAAAAATAAGCATAAACCACGAAACCAACAACAAAAGCAACAGCAACAGCTGCAGTCGCACTCACTCACACTCACTTTCTCTTACCTGAGAGAGATGAGAGCGCTAACGTTATGCCGCTACGCCGCTCTGCCGTTGCGACGCGCCGCTGCTCGCCTAAGCCTAAGCCGCCAGCAAGCGAGGCGTCAGCGTCGGCGTCAACTTCAGCTTCAGTTCAGTTTCGTTTTAGTACGCAGGCAACGCAGGTGCGCATGGCCCGTTTTCCAGTGCGTCGTCGCTCTCGTCCGTCGCCATTCGCGCAGCGCAGCCAAGTGTCAAGTGTACTGAGTATTTATTTATGTTTTGACGTTGGAGTCGGAGTCGGAGTTGGAGTTGGAGTCATCTAAAAATACCACAGCCCATGCAAAGCAAATGAAATCAAAAATAAAATTATTCTACTGTCAAATGTGGACGCGACGCGTGTGCTCGTTTTCCATTGTCAATAATTAGGTGAAATTTGTTTGGCCTTTTCCAAAGTGCCGCAAAATGTGAAAGAGTAAATCAAGTGCATTGTGTTTGTGGCTGTGTTTGCGCGCCGAAATCGAACACAATAAATACACATGCCCATACATACATATATGTATATTTATACACATAAAACACCTTCTGTACATCATTGAACATACACACACACACATACAACAATCATTGGATCTGTGTTGCTGTTGCTGTTGCTATTGCTTTGAACCTTTGAATCGCTCAACAAAACATTGTACATATTTACAGTTTGTCTTTCACTTTTTCCCATTGTTTTGCAAAACTGTTAAGTTTAACGCACTATGGGCCCCATGCGGGCAATGGATGGGAGGGGGCAGTTGGGAACTGGGGAGGTAGGGAGCACTCATAATTTCACCAAATTTGCAGCACAGTTTAACTAAAGCAAAACAAGAAATAAGAAAGAAAAACAAGAAGAAAAACACTGGGAAAAATTAATTGTCTATGCAGTGTTCCGTTTCGTTTCGTTCCACTGATTGAATTCAATTTTACAGTTCATTAATCGCGCCCGCCTGCTATTGCTCTTGTTTTATTAATGCCATCTTCTTCTTCTCGATTTGCGCTATCGAAGCATGTCGAAGCCTGAGATTTGCATTTGATTAACAGTTTAACAGTTCTTTGGGCAGTTGTCAGGCAGGCTTTCCGCCAGCTGGATCAATCAATTTGCATAGGCTAAGTGCAGCCGCAGCAGCAACTACAGCGCCAAGATGTCATCTGGCAACAGCATCAATATGCGTCTGTGTGTGTGTGCGTATGTATGAGTATGTGTATGTGTCTGAGTGTCTGAGTGGGGAGTGTGTGCACACCACCAATTGGGGTCAGTGAAAATCTTTTAAATGTTAACGCTATTTTAAATACGATACACACACTCTCACACAGACAGCCAGACAGACAGACACACAGAAAGACTGCAAAAAATTGCCGAGGCCATCTTCAGCATCATCGTCAAACGACAGTAAAAGCGTAGCCCCCCTCCGAAAAATGAAGCTGTAATGCTAATGATCATCACGATGATGATGATGTTGCTAAAAAATAAACAAAAACAAGCTTACAAGGCATCCAAGTTTCCAATATGCAAAGTAACTACAATATATATTAGAAAATAAACGGGGTGTGTGAAATGTGAACCATATGCAAATCTCTGTGAATTGCCGTTTTTCAGCCCATTTTTAAAGTGATTTGYTTCTTCTTCTTCTACATTTGGCAAAAGTGTTTTGGTCTATAAATTTGCGTGTTTTTATTATAGTGAAAATAACGGTGGTGAAATCAATTTTGTGAGACAATGTTGTAAATCGCATCAGATACGTAATTTTGTCAAAATGAATAACCAAATCAATCGAACAATGGATTACTTTTACGAGTGTCGAGATGTGAAGGTAAACACACAATCAAATACAAACCAAATATCATTCAAATTTATTCTGCTAAGTGTTAAACTCAAAGTCTATGAAGAATAAATCCTAAATGTCCGACCACTGTCCCATTGTTCGGCATTGCTCATGCATTCATTCATCCACTCATGCTCATTACGCATACAATAGATGGGGGATATGATGAATGCGAAGAGAGGTTTCACGATTTGCGTATAGATAGACTGGCACTATGCGAACAGATGAGAAATCAATGTTTGCGTTTCCTCACTTGGCTTTAAAGCAATTCGGTTGCCCAATTTGTTAGATCATTTTTGTCGTATTCTATGTCTATTCCAATACATTCACATTCTATATATATATTTGAATGCGTGAATTATTTGCAATATATTTATGTAGTATA